TCGATTAAGTTTCTGCTGCATTGAAAGTATTTTACATTGCGATTCAAGAAAAGTATAAAGGCATCATTTTTGTGAAAAAGATTTTAAAAGATTTTTTTTTACATTTCACCAATTCACCCCTCCTCTTGGTGTGAGAAATTGAGCCATTCTATTTTTAAAAGAAATAAAGTTTTGGTTATTTTGATTAGATATCGAATTCAAATTTTTACTACTAGGAATACCCTTAAAATATTTGGGGTGTTACACTTATTTTTAGTTTCTTCTTCCTCCTTCAATCTTCCAAGTTCCAATTCATGTTACATGAGTTTACCAAACAGCGTTACCATGTTAATAGATGTCAAATCCCTTGATTCAGAAATGGCAGGATAAGCCTTATTTCCCAACCAAGGGGGGTGAATTGGTTCAATATTAAAAAAATTGTTCATTTCAAAACCTTTGTAAAATCTTTAACCCTTTCTTGAAATACAGGAAAATAAAGAATGTAATGTAATGAAAGAGATAAGGGATAGAAAGACAAACACCAAGTTTTTATATTGGTTCGGTCTCAATGCCTACATCCAGATCTCTTTCAATCAACCTAAGATTGAAAGCCACTTCACTATATAGATTGAGTTATACAGCAAGAATTATAAAGGCCCTTTCTCAATGCAATCTCCTCTCTAACTCCAAATCTAATATAGAAACAAAATAACACAGAAAGAACAATCCTTTTTCTGCAGAAACCCTTTGAGACACCTCTCAAAGAAACCAGAACTCCATGTTCTCTTCCTGGCCACCGGGAATAGGGAAACCACAATCCACAGATTGCAAAATCAACACTTATATGATTCAGAACACCTAAGACTGTGGCTGAGATCAGCAAATTCAAGCACACAACAATTGCTTCATGAATCCTTTGAATCTTCCAAACTAAACGTTTCTTGATTCTTGGAAAATGAACACCCCTGCAATTTCTTATCTAAACTCACTTTGTCAGATATAAAAGATAATATTCCAAAAGTTCTTTTTGTAGAGAGCTATGCGTCAATATATAGTTTTCTCAAGTCTAACGCATCTTAATCGATTACAACAGTAATGTAATCGGTTAAGCAATTAACACAGTTATACTTAAATTACATTAAAACACATTTAACAGATTACACATTTAATGTAATTGATTGCACAATTAATGTAAGTCAAAAAAATTCAAAATATGACTTGTTAAGATTAATCATGAAAGCATTTTTCAGTGTGCACAAGATTTAACCGATTCAGAAAATAGTGTAATCGGTTAAGTATTACGCTTAAGCAAATTTGAAAACTTTTTCATTTGAAAACACATCACTCAGAAAAAAAGTATAAGCAAAGGCACGAGTTTTAATCGATTATACATATAATATAATTGGTTAAAACTTGTAGTTTGCCAAAGTTAAGCATTTACTAATATATGATGAATCTAACTGATTACATAAACATTGTAATCGATTAATTCATACAGATATGCATTGTGCAAAGAGTTTTATCATTCAAAACCATGAATATGCATACCATAGATATAAACTCATGTATAACCATAGTAAGTATGCAAAACAAATCGTTCAAGCACAGACAAACATATAAATGCAGCTTTGCATAATGTGTGCAAGAAACTATTAAAGCATTTCTGTTGTTATCATCATCAAAAACACACAAGGGTTTGGGTTTAGCTTTCACATAGCTCCCCCTATCAGCACTAACGTTGTACGCGTGACGTTGAAGGCAAATTTCACACTAGTGTTTATCTGGTATAATCCGGATACCAGATGATATGTTCTGATATTAGATTATATGATTCTAATCAAGAAAAAGTACAGTCGATTCTAAATTTGAATCTTTAAAAGTATACACAAAAATAAATTAGAGAAGAATGTGACATAAGACAAACACGAAGACACCACAATCTAGAGGATTGATAAGTTAATGAAGATTCGCAACAAAGACTGTCATCTTTGATAAGAACGAGAGTTGAAAACATCACAATTTAACATATTGATAAGTTAAGAAAGATTCACTATAAAGAATACAATATTTGATAAAAACCAAAGTTCTAATTTTAAGAACTAAAGGAATTCTCTATGAATGAAAAGCCAAATGACCCTTCAAGATATCTATATCTTTATTTGGTTGGCATTCTTACATGTAGAAACAAATGTTTAAACAACTTAACAAACCTAAAAAAAATCAAAAATATCAAACTCAACTCTTCGACCCATAAATTAGTTCTGCTAACCACAATTACATACAATTTAAAATTTAAAAAAATTACAGATACTTTTAATTACCTACAACCATTTTTAAGATCTTTATGTTTCATTTCTTTTAAATTAGAAAGACTTTTGCTCCAATTCTCTGCATAAGAAAATAGTCTGTTGTCACTATCCTTACACAATTGTATATAAACTACCTTGATGCCATAGATCAAGTGATCCCGGTGCCCGTGTGTTCACGTCTTATCCCAACAACATTTTCCCCTTTGTGCATCATATAAGCTCCTGTAGAGCTTTTTGGAAAGTAGTTTTATTTTTCATTTGCAATTATTGCTTACACAATATGTTTGTTACAAGTTAGGATTCCAAGAACACATCCCTCATCCCACAATTTCAGTCACTCAAGCCCAACCCGAGTAGCTTCTCCCCAATTTCTTTTTTTCTTTTTTCCTTTCTTTAACCCTCTTAGTTATAATATAAATGTAACATATATTAAACTTTTATTATTTTAGCATGTAAATCCTTAATAAACGTGAAAATAGACAGTTGTGTTTTTGTTAATGTTCAAAATAATCATGAAATAAAATTGTAATAGTAAATACCATATATGTGTTTTAATTATAACTAAAATTATAAAATTTAACTTGATTATTTTTACTATATTTCTTAATTTTTTTAATCCACTAAAAATTTGCTTCTAATTTGGTTATTTTCTTTTAATATTTTAAACCGCTAATTTAGTTGACTTAAAATTATTTGAAATAATTTCATATTATTTTTTATTTGTTTAATGTTACTTTTACTTTTAATATTTTAAATCACTTTATATGCACCTATAATTTGATTATTTTTAATATCTTAAACTACTTTAGGTACACTTCTATCTGAAATAATTTTAGATGTACTCACAATGTTATAAAATATTAGATTAAAATTTATATATTAAAAATGTCAAAATACCTAAAAATGTCTTCTACAAAAGTACTATGCAACTTTAATTTTCCATTACACTCGAAGATACGTAGGAGTGAAACACCATCCATATTGAGCTAAATATACTAAAAATAATATTACTCTTATAGTAATAATAACTGTGACATCCCAATTATATACGTAATGCATATATGATAAATATGTCATCATGCATAATATAGGAAAGCAGTCAAGAGTAATTAAGGATTACAGTCATCATTAGAGTAGTGCGAAATTGACAACTAGAGTATTAGAATTTCTCCCTGGAAATTATGGGGAATTTAAAACTTTAAATACTCAAAAGTTCTTCCAAATAATATGAATTCATGGAATAAAAACTAGCAAATCTAAGCTGCAGCACTGCCGTCTCCATCAAGAGCTGTTCCCAAAGTATCCTCCCCGCCATCTGCTCCCATCCAAGTGGATCATCATCGCTAAAGAAACATACACAAGCAATACAAACAAGCAAGGGTGAGCTAGATATAAAAAGCATGTTATACAACCTCACACGACATGCAAAAGTCATCCAAACATGGTAAACTGACATCACAAGACTTGTTACTTTATAAATCGACTCGTTGCTTTATAGACCGACTCGTCCGGACTAGAATGATTACCGAGCTATGGCGGGTTATGCACTCGTGGTGGCCTCTACTGCTTTGCAAAGCCGTTGCCAATGGGTTCCACCCTACCACACTCACGAGGTTAGTCCGTTCCGCGCCCTGGAGCATACTGGAAGCCTCCAAGACTAGGACCTCCTGCTACTCCTCACCACATGGATCAATCCTCTCTACTTGAGAATGAAAGACCATTGGAGCGTCAGGAAAACCCCCAAGACTGAGCTACCATGCAATCATTCTACACATCACCAGGGCACCACCATGTATCCTCTCCTTGAGGATCATGGAATTACGTCCATGAACCATACTGTTACTTTGAAACTTAACCCAAGACATGAATAACCAGATACCACCATATTATCATAGTAAATCCAACATATCTCGTACATTCACATACTTCCCACATAAATCACATCATACTATGCATTCCAAACATTCCACATGCATGATAATCTGTTAAGCAAACAACATTAATCAATCCAATACACATCACTAGACAATAACAGTCCCAAGAGAACCACTAAACAACACAAAACCCCGTAACTCATACTTAGACAAAGAAAATGGCTTTGAAACCATCACTAACAGTTTCGTAAAGGTTCAAAACCTCCAAAACAACATAAGGAACGTCCAAAACGGACATTCGTAACCCAAAAAATTATCAAAAACAAAGACAAAGCCACTTTCTACGAACACCTCGCGCTCGGGCGCTACAGTAGGGGCATTGGGCGCGACTTTTTTGCGAGAGTCTCGCACCTGGGCGTCCAGTTTGACATAAGTCGTCCAGCCCCATACCAGTTGACAGCAACCATTTTACACCTGTTTTGATCAGTTTGATGACACTAACAAGTCACAATTGACTTACCTAAGATATCCCAACAGCCCAAATGTGCTCAAAATCCTTACTTCCCAAACTCACTACCTCACTTCCTCTCAAAGTGACCAAAGACTCTATGAGCTTGTTCAAAACAGTGTATACTTTCCTTACCTTCCACTTGATCACCCCTCCAACAGAATACATATATCAACATACCGATCTCAATATCATCTCAGTCCAACCACATCCACAGTCACAAATTTCCAACATACAGTTCATACAATAAACATCAAAACTACAATTTCAATCCATAGAAAAGGATCTAGCTCCCCTTACCTCTTGAAGACTTCCTTTGTAGGCTTTGAATCAATCTTCACAAGACTTGCAGCACCTTGGCCTCCTTGCAATTCCAGAAGCTCTCAACTTCACCTCTCTCACGGATTTTGCAGCAATTGCTTCACTCCCACAAGTGCAGAAACCATTTCCTCCTTTTCCCACACTTGTAGATCTGTCCAAGAGACACCATGGCCCCTTAATCCACTAAGAAGCACTTGTTAATTGGAAAGGAGGTCTGCCCACGCTCCTCTCTGGCCCAAGGGACCAACCATTATAGGTCTGCAGCATATTCCCCAACTTTCCACGCAATCCCCACTTATTTCAGATCTGAAAACTGATACCGCTCGCGCCGGGCGCCCCTTGGAATAGGGCGCTGGGCGCAAGTCTCCCAGCAGCACCATCGTTGCAACTTTGACAGTCCGGTTGACCCCCTTCCTGAAGTCGAAAATACGTTTATGAGTACTCAAATCGAAGCTCTTTGAGTCTACTATCCAATAAAAGAAGAATCAACTCAATTGATACTTTCTACAAAAAGTTATACTTAAAATAGTAAACCATGTCAAACTTTGACAGCATTCTGTTTTACATTATAACTTGAACTTTTTACAACTCGGTAAATTCTTGAAGTTCTAGGGTCTTACAATAACGATAATAATATTTAAATTTCTATAACCAATCTATACTTGTAGATCACCAAGTATCATTATTTTGTTTGAGAGATGAAATAAATTTTTCTTTCTTTTACATAGTAATTGACTTTTGAATCTATAATTTAGTTTTCCGGAACATTTGCAAAACTGGCTAATTTGAGTCGAAAATCGTGACAAATCATTCTAGATCGAAGTCAAGACAGACCATTCTAAATCAAAGGCTGAGATGGATTGTTTCAGGCCAAAGGTCAAGGTGGATTGTTCTAAGATGAAGACTGACATGGACATTTTGAGGTCGAAGGTTGAGACAGACTGGTTTAGAATAAAGGTGAGGATGGAGTGGTCTCAAATTGAAATTCGAGACAATTTACATTGAAATATAGGTCGAGACGAGACATCTCGAGTCGAAGTTTGAGACAAATAGTGAAGTGAGAGAACTAGAAGTTTTGAGTAGCTTTGTTGTTGGAGTAGTTGAGACCTAAAATAATATGGAGTAGAAAGTGGTTAAGATGATTTTGTTTTTGTATTATTGTATTTGTTAACTTCTATTTTGGTATTGTTTTGTTTGTTTGTTTTTTTTTAACTGTCATATATAACTTTGTTGCAATTTAAGATTTTTTAAAATTTTATTATTGTTGGATGGGAATAACATTTAAAATGGGTTTGAAGAAGTCCCCTAATTTCTTTTCAATCTTTACTTTGTTTGATGACTTGGTTTTCTATAACTTATTTAAATTCGAGATATAGATCATTTTAAATTTTATATTTTGGCTTCATTTGATAATTTAATTTTTTTTAAACCATGATTTAAAGTTTTTGGATATTTATAAGCATTTAAATCCTTTGACCATTTAAAAATGAGTAGACAAGATTAATTGTTCATAATGCTTTGCGGTTTTTATTTGGTGGGAATAATTTTAACTGTAGGGTTTTTGTCTTCTCCCTTTTGCGTCATAATATACTAATTTTCATCTTTTAAATTTTTTTAATATATTTTAAAATATCAAAATCAATGTATTTTGAAATGACGGTAAAGAAACAATATAAAAAATTCAATAAAAATTCAAAGTCATAATTTTATGTTGATTTCCTGTAACATCCCAAAAATACAGTTTAAAACTATATAGTAGAATAATCACATTCAATAATAATTCAGATCAGTCTTACACTAGAGTAGAGCGAACGCTTATGACCAAACGGCCTTACATAAAAGAGTTGCAAAATTAACTAAACAGGTTAATAAAGTTTAACCGAACGGTCTACAAAAACTTATACCGAACGGTCAAAAATCAAAAGGGGAGGTGATCGAACGACCACCTTACTATACTAAACTACTGACCGAACGTCCTACTCTTCAGTCTTCACTTCTAACTCTACCAAATTTTCTTCTTCCAGCACCTCTTCCAACAGCTCGTCTCCTTCTGCTCACATCCACACGGATGATCATTGCAATGACAAAGACGGACGTACCAAACCAGACAGGACAGGAAAACACAGGGTAAGCTTACATAATTTAATTCAAGTATAAACATACATTTCTCACATTCAAACACATAAGATATTTTTCATCATACGTTTCAAGCAAGGCCTAGTACTAGACTGACTGTCCGGACTGTATGAAATCTGTGTAGCTACGACGTTCGTGCACCCGGGTGATGTAGTAACTGAAATACTCTCATCAGCTGCCACCCGAGGTTAGTCCTATATGTCCAAAGTAACCCTAAGGACTAGGACCTCCTGCCATTCCCACACATGACCTACTCCCCTCTACGTGAGGACGAGTACTCATGGAACATTAGGATGAACCGCCAGCTTAGCATATCCACATTCATACATTACAAATTCCAATATTCATTTATGAGTCGTTCCTCCCCGGAACGCTCGTCCATAACTCAACACATTTCAACTGTATCATATTCTCTTCATCTTTCATTTTCCATCATTTTAATTTCATCTTTGTTCACCGATTTTAAGAACATCAAATACCGAATGTTCAATCCTCACTCAGAACGAGGATGAACACTTGGAACGAGACAGAGAAGTCTCCCGTTCCAAAATAGAATAAGACCGAGAGGTTACTGTCAGGTTGAGAAAGAAACCGAGTACAATTATATAACCCAAGAACGAACGTTACTTACAACATGAGTCAGTTAAATGAACTGACTCTCGTGAGCTCAAACCAACACTTCAAAGAACATGTCCAGTACTAAGGCTCTAGGCCGGAACCAATGAATGTAGACACGTCAAGACGATTAAAGAACCATACTTAGAATAATTCACATATAGAAACCTAATGTCAGTCAACGACCGAACACGGTAGAGGGAAATTCTACTGAAGTTGGACGAACGCTATTTTCATCAAGATAGATCATACCATAAACGAGTACAAGCGCTTGGTATAAGATCGAGCACTACTCATTTCGAGAGCTTGGTGTGAGACCGAGCACTACTAAACTTATAATAGAAAGCTTACTAAATATAATAAGATACTATTGGAATTATGTTTAAGAATAACTAAAATATACAAATACATATATTTACAAAATTTACATTTATCACCAAATACTCAGATGCAACTACGCTTGGCCGAACGCTCAAGCACAATATTACCACAATAAGACGCTCGTCCTCAACTAGGATTCTTTCCAAATGAAAGAATCCAATTTCAACCAAGTTTACTAGAAACACCGAACGGTCAAGGACCGTTCAGTACCGAACGTACACTTTCATAGTGGAAATTCATACCAGAATCATTTATCTTCAACTCATTTCTTAATACAAAATTTCGTAACTTTATAAATTCATATCATAATCAATTTTCATACTTCGTACAATCCATACCATACTAATTAATCATATTCCATATAAACAAGCATATCAGCATTCATACTTTATATAGCATTCATACTTTATATACATACAATCACTCAACAACATGCATTCATTATCAACGAACGTGCAAACGAACATACAATTAAATTAGATAAGCTTCCCTTACTTCTGAGCGTGAACGATCGTCCTAGACAAAATATGGTTCGCCTGACTACAATTCTTCTACTCTCGACGCTCAACAACTCTTCCATCTAAACCAAACAACAGAAAAACCAACATTGGCTCAGACAAGACGACAGCATGCAACCAAAACTTGGTTTGCATGTACCAGAGAACGAACGGCTAAGACAGGGAAACTTACCAGTTTCAGAACTCGAAACTATTCGGTTCAAAATGAAGCTCAGGATGCCGGAAATGCTTCTACGGTGCCTGAACGGTGATCGGAGAAGAGAAATGGTGAGGTTTGGTAGAGAGAAGGGAGAGCTTTTTAGAGAGAAGGAGGAGAAATGAAGGATCAGAGTTTTGGAGAAGAAGAGTGCATGTAGAGAGTGTGACGTGAATTTTAGAAAAATCAGTTTTGTTTAAAACGAACGTCCGCTCCTCTGCTGACACCTGCATTCCACTATCTGATTTCTGACTCCCCTCAGCTTGACACCTGGCGTCCGTTCAGAGGGGTTTAGGTGCGTTTTTAATGGTTCTGACATTTCCTTATGTAAAAGTGCACTTTGCATAAGAAAAAAAAAACTTATATTTTGTTATCTCTTTCTTAAAACACTTAAACTCTCGTGTTTGATTTGTATTGTGCGTAAAACCTTAATTAATTCAATAACAATTACGGTATCACAAACAAAATTAGAGTCGGAATACTAAAAGACCATGAAGAAATAAAAGAAAACACCCTTTTTATTCTTACAAAGTATATAACAATTAATCTTTATTTATTACTAAAATATTTGATAATATAGATTAGTTTTTAACATCACATAAAATAATCATTTAATGATACAACAACTATAATATAAAAATAACATATCTAATCCCTTTTGACTATTTTAATAAACTTTAGAATCAAAACAAATCTCGTTTATTTTGTTCCATCCGCTATACTTTGCTTTAACCTTCATCAACATCCTTATCTAATTAAAGGAAGGAGTATGTACGATACGTACAATAGCTGCAGAAAGAAACCAAACATCAGTACCGTAATATATACTCCACGTATAGAAGAAAAACAAAGAATATAGAGCAAACAATAAGAAAATAAATACAAAATGTCATACAAGTAATTCACGTAAACGTTCTTTAAGAATATTACCTTCCAAATCAGCATATAGTAGGATCTAATGGAAGCTCTGTCATTAAGATTTACAAATTTGGCCCGGTACCAGAGAATTGAACCAAGAACTGCATTTCCAACACCCTAAAAATTGGCAACCCAGAAATTTCAAACATTATTGGAAAATATAAAAATAATGATTTTATTTGTGAGTAATTTTATAATGATCCCACAATACGTGATAATTTTAGTGACAGTTAAGATGATTTTTAAATTTCTCTGATACTAGAAGGAAACATTAAATCTAACTTATACCTTTTACTTCTTTCACCCCATTAATTCTTCGTGCACCCCCTCAAACTTTTGAAATGTCCTGGGATTTTGAGATTATATATTTCGAAAAATTTTCGGAAAGGCTTTCTGAATTAATATTGTAGGGGTACAAGAAGCAATAGCACTAACTTATGTTCATAAAATTTGGTTTATATAAGATGTTGTTTTACACCCATATTTGATAGTATCTTTCACTGTCCTTTATTTTTTTTTAACAAAAATTCACTTTTTTTAAAGACTATTTTAACCCTTTAAAAAATTGTCAAATGGTAGTTATTGAAGTCAAAGAATCTAACGATTTTTGGTGTCAAAGCACCATTGTTCGGAGCGACCTTATATTTCAGAACAACATTATAAGTCTATGCAAATTATTTCGCATACAACTAACACATTATATGACTTTTGTTTGGTATTATAACACTTCCGAATTAAAATAAAACCTCTACTGAGTGAAAAGCAAATAATTTTTAATGGGAAGAAGGATACAACACACTTGTATAATTGCAATCTATAGGTGTAATTAATAAGTATATTACCGTGACAATTTTAACCCAAAGGAAAGGAGATGATAATCCAGCGAGAAAGGCAACTCCAAAAGCCGATTCCAAAATGGAAACACATATCCAGAATACCTGAGGAAGATTAATTAGGAACATCATAAGAGGACATAACCAACTTATTAAATGTTTTATTCGACATACCCGCTTTTGACCTAAACGTGTTGAGAAAGATTCGATGCCAAATGCTTTATCTCCTTCGATATCGGGTATATCCTATAGATAGATCCAATAAAAGATTTTATACCAAAAATTTGATGTGGTAAAAATGTATGGTTTGAGAATGAATAAACCTTTACCTTGAAAAGTGATATACCTAATGAGTATATGCTCATGAATGCAACAGAAAACATCAGCGGCTTCGGAAACACAGCTACTCTCTTCAACACAAAAGTCTACAACAAAAAATATTCTTCCATTTAAATCTCATGATGTAGCTATTTGTTCATGAACTTAAATAGTTGATCATTAATCCAATCAAACTGATTCAAAAGACTTGGGATAAGGATTTGTTCTTGTTTATTGTTAGAGGCATATAAGATATTAATGTACTTAGTCCAAACTTATGAAAAGCATAATTACTTATGTATAGGACTAACCTTCATGTGATAGAAAAATGAAAGGGGAAATATAAGAGTCATAGTAGAAAAGATGCAGATTGCTGCAAGCACTGGATTTTTCTTCCATCTCAACAGGGGACCCTGAAAAGGTACAAAAATGGTGTTATCAATATAAAAACAAAAAAAGTTGTGGGTTTATTAAAAAAATATTCATTTATCTTCGTCTAACAAATTTGAATAATGAATTTAATCGATATTAATTAAAACTTTTTGCGATGAATATGACAATACCAGAAATGATCCTAAAAAAGAATGATATTTTTCATACAAATTTTGTAAATGAAGAAATTGGGAATATATGAAAAATAAGGATTGAAATTTTGAATAGCAAGAACTAGATTGTGAGGAGAATACCCAGTAAAAAAGACAAATTAATTCTGAAGTGGAAATAGCTAAAAATTAGCATTAAGAAGAGAAATGACAAGGATTAATAACTCTGAAGTTGACCATAACAGGTGCAACTGTAAATAACTCACCTTGATTGAATAACCACTCCAGACCAAAAAGAAAAATAGAAGACCCCAAAATAATGGCCATGAACCTATCAAATAGCTAGTAAAGAATCCCTGTAAAAAAACATGAAACAATAATCTTCATTCTACTATCAATTAAGATCATCTTCAAAAATATTATTGCAGAAATAGTTGAATAGATATGGAACCAGGATTGCAGATGACGCAGTAACAATAACCCCAGTTTTAAAGGAAAATGCCCCAGATGGCAATGGAAGAAATGGCTTGTTTATCTGCAAAAAAAGTTACGTAGATGAATAATAACCCAACACCACAGTAATTACTCAAAAATTTTGTAAGCTATAAATTTTGGCATGTGTTCATGACTATATCAAAGGACATATATTTATTACCAATTATTACCGAGGACTGATAAATTACAGTATAGGTTCTTTTACAAAAAATAAATAAATATATCTTCTATATTTCGAGAATAGACATATTTAAAAAAATTACCAAAAAATCGTGGAAGTTTTACCCGACTTCATATAAAAAAAGTTGTTTTTTGTACAACCACAAAACTACCATACCTAAAAAGTTAGAGTCGTACACTTACATCGACTAATTGTAATTGATTATAAGAATTAGTAGTTGATTACATATTATTAAAATTATCTAGAGTAACGATTTCAAGAATAAAATTGTATAAAATCTGTACGCCTTGTTTATTTTTATAATTTTTTTAAAATCTACTTATTCTTGTCATATAAGAAACATATTTGTCTATTTTCTTAAAAAAATCTAAAGTATAAAAGGAGATATAAACAGCTTTTATGGTTAACAGTAAAGTAAGTTGAAAGTTTCCTAGAAATAAAAAAAAATTAAATTATATATAAAAGACAAGATCGATAAATATTAATATTTTACGTCTTTTAAATGAACAATTCATATGTAATCTCCCAACTTTTATTCTATTAAAAAATTCCAATATGTACATGTTTTTAAATGACTAACTTTAGATAAACTACACAAAGTGGATAGCATACTTTTTTTTAATGGAATCAAAGAAAAGCCTAAAAGACATAAAAGTATAATTTATCATGGATTCAAATTATTTATTTCGAATAGTATAATTTCATACCTTGTCAATTTCAAGGTCATACAATTGATTCACGCCATTAACATACAGATCAAAAAGCGTGAAAGGTAGCAGAATCTGAAACATTTCAAAAGTCAGAAATTATTAACAAAGTTAAAAGACTGTTGATGATTGAGCATTTAATAAAAATTATATATTTGGAATCTCACCTGTAATATACCAATAAAAAATAAGGGAGATATATCTGATAGTCTATCCACTGCTAGGAGAGATGCAGAAATCGTGCTTAATGTCTGATCAAAGAGAAAAAAAAATTGAAACAGTTAAAAACATAAGGATTGTCCAAAATAGTATTTCTCAAAAATAAATTGAATTTATTAACATATTTAAGTAATTAATAGTAGAAAAGTTGAACTTACTCGACCAAACAGTGTGTAGGGATAGCAAAACCAGTATAATGTAACAAAGAAATGTTTAACAGAGGCAACAACATTTTTTGGTTGATAAAGACGAGGTTCAGAGGCAAAAGACTCTTTAAGGATTGCTTTAGGAATATATTTCTTATAGTTTTCTTTACATATAAACCCTCCTTCAACACTTTTGAAGATACATGGTTGTTGGAACCTTGAAAGGTTATATTCTTTTTGAATTTTCCTTTGGTTCATTGAAGCTTTAGGTGCAATAAAACCTACAACACAAAATGTTTGATCAAGTATCAGTCATCACCTCATTCACTACAAAAATCAAAATGTATTATGCAGAAATTATTTTAGAAATAAATGGAATTGTTTTGAACCATTTATTTTATATACATGATGTAGAAAATATTTTATAAATAAATGGAATTGTGTTTGAGCTATTTACTTTTAGAATCGTGGCTCAATCATGGCTTCCATGTATCTTAAGTGAATATTGAAATCAAAGTCATGTAGTTTTGAAAACTTACATTTCTAAAAGGTAATTTTGGATGGTTGACTTGAATTTTGAAAGGAAATTTCTTTTGAATTTGAAAGACTTAAAATTGAATGAATATTGGTCATGAGTGTTCAAAATAGTTTATATTAATTTGCATAACGTTCATTTCGACAAATCAGTATTTAAGATTCTCTTTAACATCCAAATAATAATAAAAACAATTCATTGATAAAAATATTCATAATTACATAGAGAAAATAAACATGAAGCATACAAATTTCTATATATTCTGTATTTTCATACATATAACATTGAATATCCTTTATTGCATATTTTATTATTCTCAACTTTCTACTATTAAAAATTTTATTTATTCTTTAGCTTCTTTATTATTCTGGGTAAATAATAAAAATAAAAAGGCTCTTTTCAGTTGGTTCCCAATATTCAGTGTCCTATATTTCATAACGACGACAGTATTTAAGAAATACTTATAGTTCTTTAGAAATATTCAGGGTACTACCACACTAATTTGGAAGTGTTACAACACAAAAAGTATATCATTAAAAGATTATATTATATATTTTTAAAATAAAAATCAAATAACATAATTTTAAAAACAAAGAGAGACTATATAGTCGTATTAATTTCAAAATTTGGAATACTAGAGAAAAAGTCATTTAACCTTTACCTGTATTTCAATTTATCAGATTTCATAGTTGTGTAATTTATCACTAATTACCTACGACATAATTTGTAATATTTGGTCCCTTTCTAATGTAATTATACCATTGATACGAAGGTTAAAAGCAATTCTTTCATGTAGTAGAAATTGTTGGTTTTAAAATTTGAAGTTTTGTACGAATTTTGTTTTCCTAAAATATCCAATAAGATGAAAGGATGAAAAAATATTTAAACTATCTAAGATCTAGATTTTTAAAATATGAAACTATTGAATGCGATTTGAACAAATAGTAATGATATTATTGAGATATTTTTCAAAAATACACTAAGATTTACTATTTTTAAAATATGATTTGTACATTTAAAAACTTAACACTATCTTTAACATAATATAATGAGCAGTGATGGATCTTAAGCCAATATTAGGAGAGTTTTGACCCTCCTATTTTGTTTTTCATATATATAAAAATTTGTATATAACTAAAAAATATTGTTTTTAATTTTAATATGTTTGATCAAATTTATGTACATTATAAATAACTTTTTGACATTCGCAACCTAGTTGATTTGTCACTGATGAGTTATTTTATATACCACACAATTTCTGATTTTCATTTAATATGAAACTTTCAATTTGTATTATTATTTCGGTATATAATAAAATGAAGTTGATTTTTAAATATAAGTAAATAAAGTTGATTAAAGAGATGTGAGACATACTTGCATAGGAAGTATTCCTGGTGGAATGTTTACTGAGCCAGAGATTTCCACCTACAATTATGAAATTAGTAAGCAGAAACTTTTATTGAAAAGTGATAAAAAATACCCAAAGTTTTACATAATGGTTGAAATATAATGAGAAAGAAATTGTTGATAGAAAAGCAGAGATATAAATACCAGTTGTGAGTGAACAGACATTAGGAGAGGACATGAGAGACATCGAATCCATGGAAACTAAACACACCATGGAAGTGAAGAAGACAGGGAAAGAGAGATTTATATACTATACTCAATTTGACTTAATTTATCAATAAATTAATCACAGTAATAACAAAAAGCAGCGGCAGTGGGGATGCACCTCATAATTTCGTTAAAGTTGGTATTTGATTGTAATTGAAGGTCGTCAAAATTGACCCATGTCATACAACTTTTACTCATTTTTTTAAATATTAAATTATGAGAAATATTATATTTTATGATAAAAAATGAAAATATTATATATTTTAATAAAAATTAAAAAAATTCATTAGTTTCCTGAAATTATAGAAAAAAAAATGTAGTCAGTTTAGAAATATGTTTTAAAAATTGCATTGAATTTGACCGCCGATTAATTTCATTCCGGAAGGAGACTCTGAGGAAACTATGTGTCTACTGTATAGTTTTCAGAGATTAATATTTCTGTTGTCGCCATTCAGAATCAAGATTTTGTCAGAGGTCTCATTGTTTTTATTTAATATAATAAAAATTAGATACAGTGTCACTGCTGTTGTTGGTAATGTTTTTCAATTAAAATTGGATTTCTAATTTTATTAAATCATTTAATAGTAAAACTAATTAAATTCAATTACGTATATCTTATGTTAATTGATGTGCGAACAATTTTATGGAGTGAATTAGAATATATTAGACTAATAGAACTAGATTTCTATTTTAGTATAAAATATATTTTTGGACAAACTTGGTTCATTACCCTACTTTCATTCTCTCTCTTAAACTCAGTTCCTCTTTTCTCTGCCTTTTCTCTACCACATCTCTGCCTTCTATCTTCCATTCCTCTTCACTGAGCCACTGGATTTCTGATCAGGTGGCGCTCAAATGTCCGCAACGTAGAGGGCTTCGCAACGGATCGATTCGTTTTGGGTTCTAGGCTGGTAAGTCCCTACATGCAACCACTTCTTTGTTCTTAAAACTAACACCTGCAATCTCTACTGGTTGCATGTGTCTTGTGCTTTCATCTTTTTCATTTTCCACTCCGTTCTAGCTTTAAGAGATGTTCCTATCACCATTTCGGTGGTTTGTAGGGTTTGGTTGGGTCCTTGCTGTGTGAGGTATTGTAAAGATGCATTTTTGTGAGCAGGGAAGTTTAACTCTGAGGTAAAGGAAGCTAGTTGTTTGGTTTAAATCTGTTTTATAAATGTGTATGCATGTTGAATGTTGAACTGGTATGCTGTTTTGGACTGCATTTTTAGTTTTAAGTATATTTGACGATTATGGACTGAAACATGTAGTTGATGAAATTGCAATGGCTTCCTTGTGAATTGAATTGGATGAACCTAGTTACTGTGAATTGAACAAGTGGGAAGTGGTTGGGGGTAAGATTTCTGTTGTAGTATTAATTAGAGGGACAATTTAGAAATTTGGAGGTATTTTAGGTCATTTGAGAGGAGGTGGGATAGTGATTCTCAGTATATGAGATCTAGAGTGTTTGGAGAGGGTTAGGACAGTCTAGACAGGTCCAATGTGGCTTGCTAGGAACATAAAACTGGACTAGAACATGTTAGAAATGGTAGAATTGGATTTGAGCCCCTAAGTTGAGGAAATTAGTGTTTTAAGAAGGAATTTGGGTCTTAATCACTTGATAATCACTGTAGAAATGTTTATAATCATCTAGACAAGTTTAATTAGGTGTAATACAGGAATTAGGGGTGTTAGAAATTGGATAAAAGGCCTAGAAATGCTAAGGGCGTGTGTGAGTGCCTAATTCTACAAAACTTGCGTTCTACAGATGATGCAGAGTCGCTATACGAGCTGTCTCGCATAGCGAGTCCCTATAGAGAGTGCTCACTATCTGGGTCATTCGCTGTGCGAGTTGGTGCGCTGTGCGAATGATTGGAGGGTGTTGCTCTCTGTCTAGTGATTCACATAGAGAATCCTGTTGCTATGCGACTGGTGATGGTCTATAACAACTACTATTTTAATTCGAAGGGCGAGTTTGGGCGCATAGCGAGTCTTTGGGAGGTGTAGTCTCTGTCTACGCTCTCGCATAGCGACCTGGGTGCGCTATGCGAGAGGTTGGAAGTCTGGTGCATGCTGCGAGTAGGATGCGCTCCGCGAATCTTCTGAGTCTAGAGTTCTCTTTTGCTCTTGTTTTGGTTGAACTAAGTGTGTGGAATGATTGGAATGCATAGTATGATGGTGGTCATGTTATTACAATTGAAAGTATGTGAATGTATGAGACATGTTTGGTGGTTGAATGTAACAAAGTATGGTTGATGGACGTAATTCCATGCTCCTCAAGGAGAGGATTCATGGTGGTGCCCTTGGTATGTTTTAGAATGATTTGCATGGTAGCTCAATATTGGGGGTTATCCTGATGCTCCAATGGTCTTTCATTCTCAAGTAGAGAGGATTGATCCATGTGGTGAGGAGTAGCGGGAGGTCCTAGTCTTGGGTGCTTCCAGTATGGCCAAGGTGAGTGATAACGGACTAACCTCGTGAGTGTGGTAGGGTGAAACCCATTGGCAACGGCTTTGCAAAGCAGTAGAAGCCACCACGAGTGCATGACCCGCCATAGCTCGACAATCATTCTAAGTCCAGACGAGTCAAGTTTAAGGTGCAACAAGTCATGGTTGTATAGTCTAGTATATCTGTCTTTATTTGCATATTGTATGTGATTATTATAACATGATTTTTGTATATCTAGGTCACCCTTGCTTCTGTGTTGTGTTTTGCTTGTGTGTGTTTTTCTTTTTCAATGATCATCCACTTGGATGTGAGCAGAGGTGGATGAGGTGCCTCTAGAGCAAGCCTTGGAAGGAGATGACGCTGTCGCTTAGTCTAGTTAGGATTCCTAGTTGTTCCTGTTTATTTTGAAATACTCTAATGCGTTTAAAGTTTTAAACTAGGACTTCTTTTAGGATGATTGTAACTTTAATACTTTATTACAGTCTTTTTCTAACTATTCTATTATATTAAAATGTGGACTTACTATATATATATTTCTATATAATCTGGGATGTTACAATTGAAGTATAGTATTTTTTTTCTAAATTTCATTCCCATTCTTTTTGAAGCTATGTTCAATGCTCATCTTTGCCATAAGGTACTTGGTTTGGTTAAAGATGAATTCAGGACTTTTGAATCTTCTGTTGCATCAGAAATTCATCAGGTACAATTCTCTAACCAATTAATTATATATATATATATATATATATATATATATCCTAAAATATTTTGTGAATAATTCTGAATTAATCATTGATTGATTGCTCATGCACGATGTGGATGTTAACCTGATTATAACAGATTAATGTATGCCAAGAATGACTGGTTATGATCTGCTGAGAAAAATCAAGGTATGATTCTATGGGTATTTTCTGAGAATTTCTTAATAAGTTTGTGCCACTTTTAATCTGGTTGTTCTTCCATAGTTTTCTGTTTATTTACATTGCATCAGTGAGATTGGTCAAACCATGCACTAGGAATTTTAATTTTTGTTTTTCCTTTTAGGAAGTTGTTTAAAAGTATATTATCTCATCATATCTTGAAATCAAATTATGTGAATTTTCAAAGAATTTTCCTTTTTTTTAATGAAGAATCTCTTTTGACATCTGAGTTGGAATACTTCACAAATTTTGAAACAAATCTGAGATCAAATTTGGTCATGGCCATCACAACATTTCTTTGACAGTCTGTGTTTTCTTCTGTTTGATCTGAAAAAATAACATTAAGTTGATTGATTTGCAGGAATCTAAATCACTTAAAAACATACCAGTTGTGATTATGTCCTCTGAGAATGTGCCATCAAGGATCAACAGGTGAGGATGTTGAACCAACCCTTTTGAAAAAATTCAAATTCAAATAATATATAGTTAAATTTTATGTTTGACCTTAAAACAAAATCAAATTTACATGATTATCTTTTGTTGGAATTATTTTTACTAGAAAAACTGGAAAGATTGATTACTTTTTATATAAAAATTCTGATATATAAGACTTAAAGTTTTAGTTTTTGTTTTTTTTATGTACTTTTCAATTTGACTGATATGATTTTGTATCAAATGTTTGGAAGAAGGAGCAGAGGAATTCTTTCTGAAACCAGTTCAACAAGTAGATGTGAATAAGCTGAAACCACATTTGATGAAATCAAGAACTAAAGAAGAGAATGAGCAACCATTGAATAACAAAAGCAAGGATATGGAAGAAATTTATTCTCCAAACAAAACCAGATTGAGATGTAGCAGTTAGAAGAATTGGTTACAGATTGATCAATAAAGCATAGATAGTGCTTAGAAAATTTTCATTTCTATGTCAAAGTGCTGGTTGGAAATTTGAAAATTAGATTACAATCAATGAGTCAATTATGCAGAAAAAAAAAAGGATATAGACAGTAAAAGTCATTGATTTAAATATTATGAGAAATAATTTTATTCAATTTTGGAATTTTCTAGAGTTTCATTATATTGATTAAAATAATGAGATTGTAAATTTATAATACAAGATCTGATGATAACTATTCAAGTTCTTCCCATTTAGTCAAATTATTTAAGTTTAGTTTATCAATGTTTTTAAAATTGTCCAAATTGTTGAACCAAGACATTAGTTTAGAGAATAATAATTTATATATAGTGGAAGTATGGTTATCATATTAAAAAAGCCCGTTTGAGAGAATGGCTTCTGGTGAATACAGATTTCCCCCTCAGAAGCAATACACACAGCCTGGCACAAAGAGTATATGATGAATCCACCACCCCAATATAGCAGTCTAGATTACAAAGCATCGAATAAACTTCAAGTATATATGCATGAAGTGATTGATCTGAAAGTACTTTTTTTTTATCTGCTTCTGTGCTTAATCGGTTTATATATTTTCAGGGGAAGGTGGCTGTAGTAACTGGAGGTGACTCTAGAATTGGAAGAGCGGTGTGTAACTTGTTTTCATTGGAGGATGCTACTGTTATCTTCACCTATGTGAAGAGACAGGAAGACATAGATGCCAAAGACATACTTGAAATTATCAGAAAAGCTAAGAGTGTCGATGCCAAAGATCCAATGGCTATAGCAGTTGATTTGGGTTATGAACAGAATTGCATGAGAGTTTTCGATCAAGTCGTTAATGCTTATGGTTGCATTGATGTTTTGGTCAATAATGCAACTGTGCAGTTCCAGAGTGATTCCTTGGACGAAATTGATGATAAAAGACTGGACATGGTGTTCCGAACTAATATCTTTTCCTAATTCTTCATGATTAAGTAAGACAAGAGCCTAATTTAATCTTACAAAAATTTTGTATGTAAGATGATTATATATGCAATCTAAAAGTTTAACACTAGTGGCATCTGAAAATGAGTACACAGATATGCTTTGAAGCACATGAAAGAAGGAAGCAACATTATCAACACGACATCAGTGGTTGCATATGAAGGATTCGAAACACTAGTGGATTATGCATCGACTAAAGGTGCCATTGTAGGGTTCACAAGATCCCTTGCACTTCAGCTTGTGAGCAAGGGAATTCGTGTGAATGGCGTTGCTCCTAGACCTATCTGAACTCCCTTACAGGTAGCAAGTTTTACAGTGGAACAAATTGTGGTGTTCGGTTCTGATTCCACACGGATGAAAAGAGCTAGACAACCTATTGAGGTTGCTCCTTCTTATGTGTTTCTCGCCAGCAACCAGTGTTCCTCTTACATAACAGGCCAAGTCCTTATATGTTTGTGATTCCACACTCAAACATGATTCAAAAATAAATAACACTTGATGGATATTGAAATCTGATGAAAAAAATTAACATTTAATCGAATTTTAAAATCTGATAAAAAAAATCACACATAACCGAATTTTGAAATTTAGTGAACAAAAAATATTTGAGACTTAGCTGGCCTTAACAAACACCCCCAATGCTCTCCCACTTGCACATTCTTTATTTTAGTCAACCTTTACTAGTAAAAAACTTGCTTTTTAACTCGCGCTATAGGCTTCGGTTTAGGTGAAACCGAAGCCTATCAAAACGTGGTGGCATTTTTGTAGTTTAAGCGAACTTATACGCCTCGGTTCAAGGGGAACCGAAGCATAAAAGGCATATTACCTCGGTTGATACTACAACTGATACCTAGAAGCCTATCTATCCACCTAACATTTCTGAAATTTGAAGTTTGTGCAGAGCCTATGGCTTCGGTTCATTTAGAACCGGTGCGAAACAATGTTTATACCTCAGTTGGTACTACAATCGATACCTAAAATCCCACCTGTCCCTCTGACAGGTCTCTGAAATTTGAAGTTTGCGCAGAGCCTATGGCTTCGCTTCATTTAGAACCGGTGCGAAACCATGTTTATGCCTCGGTTTAGACAGGAACCGAGGCGTATAACCATTTCATATTTTTCGTTTATTTTTTTCTAAGGACTATATGCCTCGATGGAGAGTAGAATCGAGGCATATATGTGTGTATTGTTTCAGATGAGCATAGAACCAAGGTAGTATTGCTTACCTCTTAACCCCGCTGCGTCAAACAAACTTAACCTACAGTGTTTCATTTCCTTCTTCCTCGAGAAACAACTGTTCTTCCTCTCTTGCGCAAAAGACTTTTTCACCATTATTCTCACTCTCGCTCCCTCGCTTCTGGTTTAGTTGGTGCCTTCATTGCTCATGCTTTGTCCGCCATCGTCGTTCTTCGATTGCTCGCGTTTAGTTGGTGCCTCCCTCGCATCGGTGCCGCCATTCTCGCACACGGTCGGAAGCCTCGGCCTCCATTTCGTCGCTGCATCAGCCCATGCTGCTCGCTGCGCCGCCCCTGGTGAACCGCCCCCTGATTGCTCCACCTCCGCTGCACGGCGCCCCACTGAACTGCCCCACTGCTCTGCCCTCTTCCTCCACAGCGTTCATTTTTGTCGTGGTGACTACTTCTTCATGGTAAGTTTTTTTAACTATAACTTGTTATATAATTTCTATTAATTGGTTTATATAATTTTTAGGTTTATATAATTTTGAATTAGGTTTATATAATTTTGAATTGTTTGGATTGAATTGGATGATGATGAAAATTGATATATAATTTTGAATTAGAGTATAGAAATTAAGGAATATAATTTTGAATTGTTTGGATTAAATTGGTTGATTTGGAGAAAAAATAAATTTTAAGGTTAGAAATCATGACACTGACTAATGTGTTGTTTGTTTTTGTCTAGATATTGTATTGTTGTGCTGAGATTTTATACACGGACATTCTCGATAGTTGACCGACTTTCACGCTCCCAGATTCCTATTCTTAAAATTTTCCTTTTAATATGAACTTGTTTGCTTCAATATGTTGTTTGTTTGAATATATTGCATGTTGCATATGTAATTATTTATTTGCTTGAATATATATTATTGTTGTGAATTAGCCTTAGTTTCCGTTTGAGATTCAATACAAAACTTATTTACTATCTCCAGATTTTTTTAATGAATGTACTTTTTACAAATGGAAATAGAGGAAATGGTAATAATAATTTACAGGTATTGAATTTTGAATCGTCCGGTTGAACAGTTTAAGAAGAGTAATAACTTTTTCATAGTTTATTAATACATATAAATTTTAATATACATGTCTTAAATTTCATGAAATTTTGCAGTTGTGTTTTGTATTGATCTTCGGGTGCATATTTGATTGTGATTTATAATCACTTTCATTTCATGTAACGTAAAGACCAATGCGAAATACTGGAAAAATTCCGTGAAATTTTAGATATGTTGTTTAAAATTGATATGTTTAATAAACTAAAAAAAGTGAATCTTCTTGAATGGGATAGGGTCACACCTTGAATACAAACACTATCAAAGTGATCATTCAAGATTATTGAAATTGTGTAAACAATTTCAGTAAACTTGCGTACGGATCGAGGGTGAATTAATTTACCACACATCAACACTGAGTACGAGAGAGGGGTATAAGAATTTAGATAGTTTGCGCTATGTAATGTGAGTTCAAGTGGTGATGATGAAGTCAAGTTTAGATGTCCCTATGTGAACTGTTTGAATGGGAGGAAGTTGAACGCAACCGATATTAGGGAACATCTTATCTGTGATGGTTTCATACGAAGTTATACAACATGGATATGGCACGATAAGGCAACAAACTTTCCAACTGTCTGTTCAACTGAAAATGGATATGATTCCACCATGGATATGGAAGATCAACTGGAAGAAGACAACTTAGAGGACATGATCTGAAATGTTGGCACAAAAGCTTTTGCCGAAGCACATGTGTATGAAACGATGTCCACGGATTCTGATACTCCTTTGTATGTCGGTTCAACTAAGTTCATACGGTTGTCAACAATGTTAAGGCTCATGAATTTAAAGGCGAGCAATGGATGGACTGATAAGAGTTTTACAGAATTGTTTTCGTTGTTGAATGAAATGCTTCCAGATGGAAATACATTACCCACTCGTAATTATGATGCAAAAGAAATTCTTTGTCTGATGGGTATGAAGTATAAAGGGATACATGCATGTTCGAATGATTGCATATTGTATAGGAATGAGTATGATGTTTTGACAAAGTGTCCAAAATGTGGGTTATCACAATACAAGGAAAAAAACAACAGTAAAGATAGTGGTCACACAGAAAAGAATGGTTCTGCTTTGAAAGTAGTTTGGTATCTTCCACTCGTGGCTAGACTTAAGCGTTTTTTCGCGAATCCCAAAGACGCTAAAAACCTAAGATGGCATGTAGATGAGAGAACAACTGATGCGCTGCTTCGTCATCCAGCTGATTCAAAGAAATGGAAAAATATTGATCAAGAATTCCCCCAATTTGGTCAAGAATGTAGAAATGTTAGGTTTGACTTAGCTATTGATGGAATGAACCCTTTTGGTAATTTAATTACCAATCACAGTTATTGGCCCGTTATACTGATAATTTACAACTTATCGTGGTCCTCGACGATTTTTACAATCTAATCATCCATATCGAAGGTTAAAGAAAGCATTCAATGGAGAACAAGACAGAGACAATGCATCCACTCCACTTACTAGACTTGAAGTTCTTGAAAAAGTTAATAGAGTACATCATGTATTTGGGAAAATGTGCAAGAAGTCTTTTGTAACGACCACTTGGAAGAAGAAATCAATATTCTTTGATCTTCCATATTGGTCAAAGTTAGATGTTCGACATTGCATAGATGTCATGCATGCAGAGAAGAATGTTTGTGATAGCTTGATTGGTACACTACTAAACATCCAGGGAAAACAAAAGATGGAGTGAATGCGCGTTTGGATTTGGTTGACATGAAGAGTTGGCACCAAGAGAGATTGGTAAACGTACTTATTTGCCCCCTGCATGTTACGCAATGTCCAGACAAGAGAAGATAAGTTTTTGTCTTTGTTTAAAG